CCAGCCTGTCATTGCACTCTACAGGTTCACCAACCACAGCTATCTACTCAAAGCTGTCAAACCCAGCACCAGGAATCCATAGATCAATATCCACAATACATACCAATCCTGTCTTCAGGTGCGGGCCATTGACTCTACAGCCAGCACCTAAACATCAAACAACGGCTTTGAAGCAGCCGCACAAATAAACCTGAGTCTTCTTCATTCTGGAGGTCTTCTTGGTTGGGGTATCTGCAGGCTGGTCAATGATCTCTCCTTCCACATGGGGCACTCCTTTGGTTGGTTTCTATTTCTATAATCAAACCAAATACAAATTTGGGGGGGGGGGGGGGGGGGGGGGGGGGACTCGTCAGGCCCTGACTACAGCGGATTATGCCCTCATTTTCAGAACGCACCTCGCTCTGCAGGCACTATATTAGGTGTAGTCTGATAACACTGTCATATCAGTGAGGCCTGCCTGCGACAAACACTGAACCTGTATTAACATAGCAGAAATTACATCTCCATAGAGGTCAATGTGAATGCTACATTGTGTTAGTGGCCTAGGTATAGGAGAACCTTAGAACTGACCCTGACCTCTCCTTGTGAACACCTAGCTGCCAAACTGACCCCTGCTTCAATATCTTTTATCACAGGTGCAAAACAAGTATGCAGATATCGGTTTTCCATAACCATTTCCACAGCAGTGGTTGAAAAGGTATTCACACCACAGGGCCATCACATTTTTTGGTAGAAGTAGTGCTCGTTATGGTTGTTCTCCTCACTGAAGATTTTGCACTCACTTTATGTCCAATGATAACGTCAGCAGAATGAAAAGTGAGGATACATCTCCCAAATAATCCCTCGGGCAGGAACAAAAAGACAGGGGCTCTAACCTATTCCCACTACCCAAAACTAAATACATTGTGGCTAGAGTCACATTTTAACCGAATCAAAGCAGTCTACTGCAGCCTATGAGCTTCATGTTCTATGCAAATATGAAACATTGACAGTGAAACCAGAAAGAATGAAAGAAGAAAAAAAAAAAAAAAAATGGAAACCCCTCAAACAACCCGAGGACTCCATTTTGTTGTATTGTCCTGGTCTGGGCATCTTAAATGTTTTATTCCGACAGGCCTTTCTCCCAACCTTTTACCGACATGCATACTAGAAGATACGAATGAAGACACACACACGGGTCGGAGACATTTCCAGTTTTTACTGGTATTGGCTTGTCCAAATGACATTCATAACAAGAACAATGTAAATATAAAAATAAACTCAGGAGTGCTAGTTGTACAAAACATGTCATTTAACCCTTATTGTCTGTACAGTTAAGGCCATATTACATTTCTGCCACACAAGCAAACATTAGTTGTTACCTTGTTTTATACCAAAACAGAAAAAGAAACTTTCTAGATGGACAAAATGAAACTGTGCTTGTACCACAGAAGAGGATTTGGATGATGCAAATGCTTGCACGGAGTCCAGTCAGCCATTCTGAGAAATGAAATGATTTAGTCGGTGAAATCGCAACAACCTTGAGCTGACAAAATGGCCGCTGCTGCTTGGCGACAATGATGGCAGAAAACTGGTAGGTGGTACACATCGAGCCCCATCATGAATTGGCTGCTGGACTGAGTGACAATTTATGCAGCTGCATGCTGGGAGTTGAAGCCTAGTGGCGATTTTAAACTCTTGCTTCACAGGATTAGTGCTACATGCTAGCTATACTATTCTTCATTAGAAAATTATTTCAAGCAGTATGTTGATATTACTGGTATCTTCATATATTAGGAATAAAAGCTAGTGACCCTTCCACAGCTATACGAGAGCAACTTTAACTCAAAACGGTCTTCACAATCAGCAGAGATTCTTTTTTACTTGCGTGTTCTGTGCTTGTATTCATCCATGCTACCCTGTAACAGATATTATAATGGGCTTAAAGTGAAATTCGTTAGTTGCTGGTGACACCATAGATGCCGGTGCTGCGCCTAACAGTTCTCCTATCCTAAATTCAGGATGTGGCTGATGTCATCAAATTGAAGTTTTTTTTGGCTACTGTTATATCCTCAAAAACTAAGCCCAATTTCTCTCCAAATAAACAATTTAATTTTTTTAGGGCCAGTTCATACAATAGAAAGGCAGTCCGGATGCACTTCTGATGCGTACCAGTTAATTTGTTCCCCCTCTTTTTCTTCATCGTCAATAAAAACATGCATTCCAGTGCGTTTTACTGCATTCCATACAGTTTAGTGTAGAAAAAAAAAAAAATGCAGCATGTTCTTTTTTTCTGGAACTAGAAAGCACTGGAACCGACCGCACTGGTGTGAACTATGCAATTGAAAACCATGTAACCTACTATAAAAAGCGTTTTTTTTTTTTTTCTTGCACTGGACTGCATGTGGTGTGAACTGGTCCTTAAACATGTTTTGGGGGCACCTTTGCTAAAATGATTTTTCATACAAAAAGGTGAGCTTAGCCTCTAAAGAGACACTGTCACATTGTCCAAGTAAACAGTGACAATGGAAAGGGTAACCCCCCTGCCCCAATCCCCTTATACTCACTTTACGTGTGCTCCCTTGCAGCTTCTTCCTCCTCAGTAGAAAGCAAGAAATTCTGTGATAGCACCCAGCCGAGGAGCTACTCGTTAGGCCCTGTCCTATGACTAGGGGACTGAACAACACTGTTCCCCTTCGTCGCAGACAGAGCCAATCTCAGTACAGGCTGAAGAGGAGCAAGAAGGCACAAGGGAGTGCAGGTAAGGTCATTACAGAGGGGCTTCGGATACCCTTCTAGAGACACTGTTGCCTGCTTGGGCAAGAGGACTTGGTCTCTTCAAAAGGAAAGTGGCATTTTTCGGTGCAGCCCCTTTCGTTCTAATTTTATTTCATTGTTATTTTGAAAAATATAACAAGTAGCATCTGACTGGCTGCTAGAGACACCAACGTTTACACTGCATTTACAGAATGTCCTCTAATATTGTTTACTCTAGAAGAGGGATTTTAACTTTAAAACATACATCAACTTTCGTGCATCTACTTTATAACAACAAAATTTTCAGAATTTCCCTAGCTGTACATAGGTCAGTCAACTGAAACAATGCAACTAATGAACTGATATGGTTACACATAGGGAAATGATCAAAGTATATGTTAAACAGATTTACAGTATCCTATTGTTTGTGATATGTACATCCCCAATCAGAAAGATAGAAGTACCAAGATACAGTACTAAGTCTCAGTTTTCCTGAAAGCCCAGTACTGCATGACTAAAAAAAAAAAAAAAAAAAAAAACAAAAAAAAAAAAAAAACACACAACTTCATCAAAAAACTGATCTGTCCATTTAGGGTGGCATGTTGGCAAGGTTTGATCCCTGTTTAGGTCTTCACAGCTATCTAGGACCTCAATGGTGAGATCACCCTTCAAACCCTACCAAAGCTGTGAAAGCCTCTTCAGGTGTCACCTGCAATAGCGACTTCCTCATGTGTCCTTATGGAGAATCCAGGACAGAAGACACCGTGCAGTATTTGTGCCTGGTACCCTGTATTGAATTTCCATAAGGGAATGTAGAAAAGGCACTTCAGTAGGTAACATTAGATGTCTGCTAAGCCTGAAATTTCAAAGCCGTGGCACAGGTGGTGATGTCACAAACCATTGCAGGGGTTATAGAACATCAGTTTTGAGTGCTGTTTTACTGCAAGATCAATCTGCTTGTTAACAAGTACAGTATTTTAAAGAACACTTGTCACTAAAGTTAACCAAGTTTCAGGGAACCAAGAGGTGGCCTGCATGCACACAATTTTTGTCTCCAGAGCACCTTGAAAACCCTTAAATCTGGGTCACTCTGGATGCAAATACAGACATTTCCAGCCATAAAAGGTCAAAGCCAAGACACCCTTGATACAAACTCATTGACATGTCTAAGACGCAGAAAGGGGTGCAGCAGAGCTCAGATTTTGCTGCTGGAGGCAACCTGTGATATATAGGGGTGCTAAAGAAGCTAAAACTGCACCACACTTAGGTTCTCCAAACTTTATCCAAAAGACAGGCCAACTTATATTGTAAATCCAATTACCTTACTGCTAGAAATAGGAAAGTGTCAAGTCTAACAGTCTTCAAAACCTGGGGAATATGTGCTACAAAAGACTTAAATTAATTGCTGCTCACATGGTGTACCTTTGCGATGTCAACAGACTTTATCACCTATCAGATGAGGGAGCCATGCTTGTGGCTGCACTATTACTACAAAGCAGCCCATCAATTTTCAGTGACATCTACTTCTGAAAATGCTATCTGCCTCGCTGTCAGGCCAACTGAAAGACTTCAATACTGAGTCAGTGACTCAGAGGTCAAAAGACCAGGTCAGAAAAAAGTAATTTGCAGCCTGGCAACTGGCATGTTCAAAAAGTCAGAATGGCAGTCTCCATGTTTCGCTCATGACAGGCATCCTTGAATGACGATAGTTGTAATTGAGAGCTAGCTTAGTAAACCCTTTAGTCAGACTGCAGGTATGCAGATAAATGACAGGCAATGAAAATGGCACTCATTTACTAAAGTGTCTGATGTAGAAGCTGCCTCAGTTTGGGCTGTCCGTATGGCACCAGGAAGCAGAAAGGAAGGATGTGATTAACAGACTTGGGCATTAGACTGTCTAGGACAATTTTTTCCTATATTACCTTTATAAATAAAGCATGATGAAACAAGCTGGTTTAACATGGCTCTTGTTCTGGTGGAGATAAAGCCGTGAGATCACATCAAAACCTGTCAGTCAAGTATTAATACTGGGAAGGGTGAGGGAGGTATTTAGAGGAAGTCACTGTACTACTGCGTACGGTCACTTAGCTACCTGGTCCCCTTCATTCATTGTTCCCACACTGCTGCCTCCTCTCTCCACGCTTCAATTTGAAAAATCCTACTTAATAGATACATTCTTAAATAAGAATAAATAGTTGAAGTGCCAAGAGGAATATCCTAGCGTTTCCAGTACGAATGCCCAATGGCTACGGTGTGAGTAGACATCAATCCTCTACATAGGCCGCTGCTGCCATGGTCGTCCTGATGCCCCCTCTTGTGGTTGCCTTCAGATCCTCTAGTTCGGAGTTTAGTTTGCTAATCACCCATTCCATAGCATCCCGGCCCTAAAGAAGCAGAAAGAAGTGCTGTTATTAGCAATTGTTTTCAGAAATGACTCAGAAGCAGCAAGCAAATCTAAAACACACCAATTAAGTGGGCTGGTCAGTAACGTCATACGAGTCAAATGTTTCTAAAACTCACAATATTACTTTCTGTAAACTAATTATACCTTATCTGTCTGTAAATCTATCCTCATACAGTCAAGTAAAAGCTTAGCTCAGTCTCAAGATACTAAAGATTGTATGTGATGAGGGGGGTCTAAAGGTTTTCCTTTTAGACAGACCCTGACTGGTAGGCATGCTCATTTTTATACCCCACTGGAATACCTTGCATGTGATCTTTGCATAATGAGCAAATATAGCTGCCCCATGTACAGTTGTAAGTACAAGCTATATACGAAGAAACAAGGTTTTCAAAGCAAGCTTACACTATGCAGATTTAAAGTAAGCTGATCATTTCTAAATGCATGAATGGAAAAAAATACTACATTTCCATAAAGGCATATGCAGATCATTCCGAGATATTGCTCACTTGGCAATGCCTACTAAGCCTTTATGAAATAACCTAAAATCATGAATTGCAGATTCATTGTAATGCTAATTATGCTGTGTACAAGTCATCATCAAGAAAGCCGGAATTACTAGTTGTAACCTGAACACATGCGACACTGGACAGCACAACCCTAGCTGCAGTAGAGTAGATAAAGGAGGCTTATCTGTTTTAGGTAGTTTCCCTCCCCACCCAACAAAAATACACATCAATGGAAGTTACCCAAGAAAATATGACACACTCAAATAATGGCAGAAAATACTGGACTTTAGGTTAGTCATCCACTTACCTTATTGGCATTGGTAGAAATGGTATTGGCCATCATTCCCTCTAAATAGCTGCTCAGACTGACACCTTTCACAGTTATGATAGCTTCCTGAGTGAGAACAGTCCTGAAAAACACAAACAATGCATTGAAGTCTTAGCTCATCTGAGAGAAGTTGCTCATTTCAAAAATTACTATACAAAGAAAACACTAAGAAATAAATCTGGTTAACCAGATCGGTATATTATCTGAATTAGTAGCACAGACAGCAACAGATTGGGGTTGATTCACTAAAACTGGAGAGTGCAAGATTTGGAGCAGCTCTACATTGAAACCAATCAGCTTCCAGGTTTTTTTTTTTTTTGGTCAAAGCGTAAATTGAACAAGCTGACGTTAGTAGCAGATTGGCTGCCATGTACAGCAGCACCAGATTTTGCATTCTCCAGTTCTAGTAAATCAACCCAATTGTATCTTTCGCACAGCTCTGTACTCACTTTTTGTCGTCCTGAGGATGTGGCTTGTACACCAATCTTTCATCCACAGACACCATATTTGTGAATGTGATCTAAAAGCAAAAACACAAGACAACAAATTACATAACAAGCAAATAACTCTGTTTAAAAAGAAAAATGCTAAATATTTTCAGCAAGAACATCTTGTGATTCAAGTTACATTTCACCAGGAAGTAATGTTCGAAGTGACTTCACAGTTTTTACATGCTTGCAGGCCATATTTTCATTCTAGCAATTTGTATAAAGGTTTTGAATTTTACTCTCTAGTGCACAGGTGTCAAACTGGCGGCCCTCCAGCTGTTGCCAAACTACAAGTCCCATGAGGCATTGCAAGATTGATAATTTACAAGCATGATTCCCAAAGGCAGAGGCATGATGGGACTTGTAGTTTCGCAACAGCGGAGGTCCGCCAGCTTGACACCCCTGCTCTAGTGGCAGCCAGAACAGACACCTTTGCCAGGTTCTAGGCTAGTGTCGTTATTATTAGGAATAATTCACACTGAGCCTGCTATGGGACAGAAGATTCTGAACCCCGCCCAGCACCAGAAAATGACGAGTGTAAATTAGTGACGAGAGCCAGCCAAGTGGCTCAATCTGCTGTCAGCAGTTCAAAGGTGAAACATTATGTGATATAATGTTCAGGCAGCAGCTTCCTATAGCTTGCAGAACTTCCACCTATAACCTGCCAGGTGGAAGGAAGCACTCTCTGGTGGAATTAAAGGCCATGAATCCTGTAGCAAGACTTGGTTATGTGGAATATCCATTATTAGCATTAAAGCTGTAGTTTAATTACATTTTTGCTTTGTTCAAGGACTTTTTACACTTTCATACACAAATATGACAAGAGGGCCACTTACATTTGTTGATTTTAGTTCCATTGTTTTTTCAACAGGATCAACCACCGAATGTTCTTGAACATATGTCCTTGATCTGGTTGCCCCAATAAGCTATTCATTGAAAAAAGAAATACAAAACGGTTATCTTCAAAAATACACTAAGCCCCTTTAGGTAAAAGACAGTATTTCCTGATAGCCCACTCACTACCAAAATATATTTACTAATCCACACTCTTTTGTGCTGACAGAATGGGGCTTCTGGGTATAAGAAAACATTCCATATTCCACGGTTGACTTGCTTACAGGATAGAGCAGCCAGATCACTAGGCCCAAACATTGTCGCACTGAAGGATGGGGAAGGCATTGACATCAGCCACCAGGTAAGCTCTGACACTGGTGCCCAGTCAGGGTGGGATGTATTTGCTCACTCTGCATTGTGACGAATCCTTTAACCCCTTCCTGCCGACGTCACACACATATGCAGACTCACAGAACTGAGCTTTTTTCCATGGGGCTGCAGATTTACACACCATACTGCCCCGAACTACATCACTGACCTAATATCCAAGTACCGCCCAGCGCGCACACTCCGCTCCTCACAATGTACCTCCTCTCTAGTTCCCTGGTCTCCTCCTCCCATGCGCGCCTCCAGGACTTCTCCAGGGTGTCACCCATCCTCTGGAACTCCCTGCCCCAACCCATCAGATTATCACCTACTCTCCTCTCCTTTAGGCGCACCCTGAAAACCCATCTCTTCAGGGAAGCCTACCCCACCCCCTGCTAACTTGCCAACCTCCTCCACTCTTCCTACCACTCCATCCCCCACAGCTATCTCCTCCTGTGCCACCATCCCCTCCCTCCTAGATTGTAAGCTCCAAAGAGCAGGGCCCTCGATCCCCTCATGTTTTGCATTGTATTGGTATTGTTCTGTCACATGTTCTGTCCCCCTTTGTAATGTACAGCGCTGAGCGAACTATTGGCGCTTTATAAATACTGTATAATAATAATAATACCTGTCGTCGTGCTGGCAGCGCGCTCCCAGCACAAAGACCGGGGTGTCACTGAAAGCCCTGGGTCCCGGTCTAACGATCAGGACCCGGAACTCCCGATTCCAGGTTACATGATCGCTGTGATAGTCTATCAGAGGCTATTACAGTGATCAGTCACTGTACAGCCTGCCCCCCTTGTTTTTTTTTTTTTTCCCTCTATGAATGGAGAAGAGAGATACATTGTATCTCTTTCTCTCTTTGCATAGAGGAAAAAAAAAAAAAAAAAAAAAAAAAAGATAAATAAATATTAAAAAATTAAATAAAAAATACCTAGATCAAGGTTTGATCTAGTTCAGTGCCAGGGTTAGTGTTTGGGTCAAGGTCACATTTTTTTTTTTCCTCTTTTTTTTAAAAATTGGAATCAGTGTGTTTTAGGTAAAAAACAAAACAAAAAAAAAACCACTATTGGTTCTGAGCTGTACTACGGGTACAAACATCAAATAACCTACACATATATGGTATCGTTGCAATTGTCAAGAGCTGGAAAATTTATTTTGGGTTTGTTCTTTGGTGGCAGATTATGGTAGTAACAAGAAACACACAGCTAAATTTAAGAAAAAAAAAAAAGCGACACATTACAATGAACTGCAGGGAATCTGCTGATAATGAAAATTCCTTTGTGGCCGCTGAAAGCCATTCACAGAAAACATCCCACACTCAGCAATTCCCACCGATGGCCGTAGGAGGAGTGAATTAAAGTAAACACCAAAAATGAACTTCACTTACTTACTCCCTTTTGGTTTGTTACATTTAAAATGTAGGCAATATGTTATATCTGTTCAATAAATGCAATAAAGTACCTGTTGATCCTGCCCGAAATCCAATGCCACCAGTTTTCCTGTTAACCTTTCAGTGTTATCTCAATGATATCAAAAAGTGTGTTGGGACTACAGAACAACTTCCCCCCCCTTATGTTATGGAGATGAGGGGCTTGTTCTTTAGCCCCAACACCATTCCTTTCCTAAGGTGACAGGATGTGTGTTACTAATACAGCCCCACATCTAAGGACCGGTAAGCTGCAATATAGTACATTTTTGTTCTTGGGTCAGGATACACTTATGCTTCTGCTAACCTATGTGCAGCTTCCAAGGAATAAGACTTACTGATTTCACTAGAGAAGGCATTCCCCACTCCGTGCTGAGCAGCCGGTCACTGTGCAACTTCCCACTGGAATCCACGTGCCTGTTCAATACATCCACGCCGACCACACTGGGGTTCATGGGGTTGGGGTACTTCTGCATGGCCGCTGTTGTGACCATTTCCCATGGGTGGCTGTCAAGAAAAGGCATAAAAGCACTAAGCAGCAAGAAATCTTTTTTTTTTAATATATATGTATACACACACACACACACACACACACACACACACACACACACACATACATACATACACACCACATATATATATATATATATATATATACACACACACACACACACACACACACACATACACACCACATAGAGAACATAAAATGACACTGGACCAGTACAATATCAAAGCTGCATTTAATGCATAACATTTTACATTGTTTTGGATACAGCAAAGAAGGGTTATGGAAAAGTTATAATCCTACACCCACAGTTGATCCAGAAGAAGGCAAAAAAAAAAGGCAAAAAAAAACAAACAACAAAGCATGATCCAATTTGCTCCTGCAGGGGAAAGAATAAAAATTCTTCCTGATCCCCTGAAAGGCAACTGGATATTCCCTGGATCAACTTTACCTATAAATGTTAGTATCCAGTTATATGCTGTGTATTTTAGACAAAAAAAAAAAAAAAAAAAAGCTTGTTGGATTATCAATCTGGTTATAGTTGGCTATAGGTGGATCAAATCTTGGCCAGTTCAGCAGGAACCATTCATCTATGGCAGCGTTTTTCAACCACTGTGCCGCGGCACACTAGTGTGCCGTGAGATATTGTCTGGTGTGCCGTGGGAAAAATTCCAATTTCATCTGTAACATGTGGCTTCGGCTCACAAATAGACCAATCATTAGAATCTAATGATTCAGTGGTCGGCAAGCCGCGGCTCGCGAGCCACATGCGGCTCTTTACCCAGTCTAATGCGGCTCTTCTGTGTGCCGGGCGCCTGCTCCCCTCCCTCCTCTCGGTCGGCCGCTCCCCTGCCTCCTCTCGGTTGGCAGCCCCAAAAGTCCGCGCGGACCTTTTAATCCGGCTTGCGGATGTGGCTGTCAGGATGTGTGTAGGCGGGGCAGCGTGCCGAACGTGAGGGGAGGGGAGCTAGGCTCCTCTCACAGTCCGCCCTGAAGACCCGAACGGCGCGGGAAGACAGCGAGAGGAACGCAAAAGGTAAGTGAATTGACACGGGGGACTTGGCTTACTAGAAGGGGGGGGGGGGGAATAGTACTGTGGGGGATGAAATACTATATGAGGGATGAATTACTTTATGAGGGATGAAATACTATATGGGGGGATGAAATACTATATGGGGGATGAATTACTATATCAGGGATGAATTACTATATGAGGGATGAAATACTATATGGGGGGATGAAATACTATATGGGGGGATGAAATACTATATGGGGGGATGAATTACTATATGAGGGATGAAATACTATATGGGGGGATGAAATACTATATGAGGGATGAAATACTATATGGGGGATGAATTACTATATGAGGGATGAATTACTGTATGAGGGATGAAATACTATATGGGGGGATGAAATACTATATGAGGGATGAAATACTATATGAGGGGATGAAATACTATATGGGGGGATGAAATACTATATGGGGGATGAAATACTATATGAGGGATGAAATACTATATGAGGGATGAAATACTATATGAGGGATGAATTACTATATGAGGGATGAAATACTATATGGGGGGATGAAATACTATATGGGGGGATGAAATACTATATGGGGGGATGAAATACTATATGAGGGATGAATTACTATATGAGGGATGAAATACTATATGGGGGGATGAAATACTATATGGGGGGATGAAATACTATATGAGGGATGAATTACTATATGGGGGGATGAAATACTATATGAGGGATGAATTACTATATGAGGGATGAAATTACTATATGAGGGATGAAATACTATATGAGGGATGAAATACTATATGGGGGGATGAAATACTATATGAGGGATGAAATACTATATGGGGGGATGAAATACTATATGAGGGATGAAATACTATATGAGGGATGAATTACTATATGGGGGATGAAATACTATATGAGGGATGAAATACTATATGGGGGATGAAATACTATATGGGGGATGAAATACTATACGGGGGATGAAATACTATACGGGGGATGAAATACTATACGAGGGATGAAATACTATACGGGGGATGAATTGCTATGGGGGATGAATTACTATATGGGGGATGAATTACTATGGGGGATGAATTACTATATGGAGGATGAATTACTATATGGGGGATGAATTACTATATGGGGGATGAATTACTATGGGGGATGAATTACTATGGGGGATGAATTACACTATGGGGGATGAATTACACTATGGGGGATGAATTACTATATGGGGGATGAATTACTATGGGGGATGAATTACTATATGGGGGATGAATTACTATATGGGGGATGAATTACTATGGGGGATGAATTACTATGGGGGATGAATTACTATATGGGGGATTAATTACTATGGGGGATGAATTACTATGGGGGATGAATTACTATGGGGGATGAATTACTATATGGGGGATTAATTATAATGGGGGATGAATTACTATGGGGGATGAATTACTATATGGAGGATGAATTACTATGGGGGATGAATTACTATATGGGGGATTAATTACTATGGGGGATGAATTACTATATGGGGGATTAATTACTATGCTTACTATGGGGGAATATTACTATACTTACTATGGATGACACATACACATCATTCATCTACTCTTGGTCCGGCCCCCGGGTCCAATTATAAAATACTTTATTATTTCATAATAAAGTAATTATAAAATAATTTCTTTGTGTTTGATTCCTATTCAAGAGAATTACTTTATATATAGTCAATATAGGCACAGAGGTAAATTTTTTTTTAACATTTTCTAATGGTGGTGTGCCTCGTGATTTTTTTCATGAAAAAAGTGTGCCTTTGCACAAAAAAGGTTGAAAAACACTGATCTATGGGAAGGCTGGTTGTACCCAAGTCCATTCATTGACCTAGGTACAACGGGGGGGGGGGGGGGGGGGGGGGTTTCAGGGACAATTCTTGTCTTGTTTGTGTGGATGGGGGAAACAGTTATGCAGGCTGTAGAGGGGTCGTTATCGGCCGAAATTTCGTCCGGAAGAATAATCAGCCGATATTTGCACCGTTAGTGGGCAATGTCGTCGGCCGATTTTCACGGTTCCTTCTCGTTTCTTTTATCGGTCATGCTGGAAAATCTATGAAAAACGGCCGATTTTCGTAAGCATTTATGGCAACAGAACGATCGATCTTTCGGCCCATAAACAGCCCGTCTATGGCCCCCATTAGTTGTTTTCTCATGCAGCCTGTTTAACAGATTAATATCTCATGAGTGTTCGGCTCTATTCACAAAGCTGACAATCCTGACAGCAGGATTTGCTGGAGATAGTAACAGTCTATTCATAGCAACAGCCTTACAAACCTGACAATCATGTAAAATAAGTAGGTGACACCATAACAACACAGAACAAGGAGTGACCTTTCCTTCTATTGTGTACTTGCTGTTCTTGTCCTCTCCTGCACATTGTACAGGGAGGAGGTTCATGTATCACCGTCTTATGTCATACCTGAGGTTCTTGCCTCAGTGTCTTGTAAATAATATTCTGCAGTCTGTTTTGCGAGGATCTGCTGCGTAGAAGGAAAAAGGCATGTGACCTCACATAATTAGAATCAGCTGGCAGTGAACTCTGCAAAGCTCGGGAAACAGCTTTCCAAAATGGAAAACGTGAAGGCAGTGCGCGCCCCCCGGGAAACGTGAAGGCAGTGCGCGCCCCCCGGGAAACGTGAAGGCAGTGCGCGCCCCCCGGGAAAACGTGAAGGCAGTGCGCCCCCCGGGAAACGTGAAGGCAGTGCGCGCGTCAGCAGGAATGTCCTCAGAGGAGTCACTTTCTTCTTTATCGGACATGTAGGAAAGTCACATTGTGCTTCGTCCTTTGATGTGAAGTCACATGAGGAGATAACGGAGGAGCAGCCCATCATGGAAAAAGCATGAGGAAAAAAAAAAACCGGCACCCACGACACCCCTCCCTCCACACACACACACACTTTCTCGTCACATTCCAACAGCCCTGAAGGCCAAGCTCTACTTTTCTGCAACAAAATGGAAGTCTGAATGCAAGAGTCGCTCTAGGCGAACATACACTACAATATGATTGTACAATCTCATTTAGATCTATCTACTGCAAGGGCCTCCCTGATTTGAGACAATTTGAATATATTGTTTAGAATAAGTCATGGGGAAAAAAAAAAAATACAAACTCCAAGCAGAAACTGCCCCGGGTATCCAGGAGCAAGAAGAGGAGTGCTAACCCACTCACACATTGTCCTGTATCACCTTTCAGGGTGCGTCTGGTCAGGACTGTATTAGTGTGGGTTACTCAATTATGCTGCAATTAGTGGAGTTTTATGGACTAGCACTTTAACACGGCACATCATGAGCACTCGGCATCCACGTGCCGCCTTGGAATAACCGGTCAGGTGGAAGCTGAGGAATGTGTCAACCCAAATACACAGAGAAGGTCACCAGGTACTGCACATTGCAACACGACTGATAACAGCCAGAAGTCACCGAAAGTCTGCAGACACCTGGAAGGCAGCCCATCCATTCCCCCATCCACACATTACATGTGAATGGAGGAATCCCTCCAGCTGTGGTATTGTATTCTGACAGCAGGGAGCCTTCTCCACCATCAAAATACAAAGATCCGCACAGATCGTTCAGGAAAAACCCTACAGGCTGGTTGTACGCAAGTTGATCAGTATACTCACTTCTGTACAACCAGCCTGCTTGTGCATGGATTGAAATTCAGACGTTCCCTGCTGAACCAGCCAAACGTCAATCCATGTATGGCCAGTTAAAGTTGTCAAAAGGTCCGCAGGCGCCCGGCAAGCCCCACCAAAAATGTCCGCAGGCACCTGGCAAGCCCCAGAGGCGTCCGGCAAGCCCCAGAGGCGTCCAGCAAGCCCCAGAGGCGTCCAGCAAGCCCCAGAGGCGTCCAGCAAGCCCCAGAGGCGTCCAGCAAGCCCCGCCAAAAGCTCTGCAGGCACCCTGTAAGCCCCGCCAAAAGGTCCGCAGGCGCCCGGCAAGCCCCAGAGGCACACGGCAAGTCCCGCCAGAAGGTCCACAGGCGACTGGCAAGCCCCAGAGGCGCCGGCAAGCCCCGCAGGCGCCGGCAAGCCCCGCCAAAAGGTCGAAGGTGCCCGGCAAGCCCCGCCAATAGGTCCGCAGGCGCCTGGCAAGCCCCAGAGGCGCATGGCAAGCCCCGCCAAAAGGTCCGCAGGCGCCCGGCAAGCCCCGCCCACAGGTGCCCGGCAAGCCCCGCCAAAAGGTCCGCAGGCGCCCGGCAAGCCCCGCCAAAAGGTGGACGTGTGTGTACTGTACTGTGGGGAGTGAGTGCTTACTTCACCCACACTGCACAAATCCCTGGCCCGCATGCACCAAAATATTGGAAACAAAATGTAGCAATGGAAGTGTTACTGTGCACGTTGTCACAATGCATAAACATGTATGCTCGGGGTGCTGCTCTTCCTTTCATCCTTAGTGGCTGCCCCATGCACCTAGACAACACATGTACACTTTGGTACACCACAACACAAGGTAGCACACTACCGCACATTGGGATTTGTTGACTTTTATATTTGCATGTTTTATGTAGCATTTTAGCGCATTAGGCAGTCCATGTCAATGAAGGAGCTGCACTAAACACAACTCGCATTAACATCTCAGTGTGAATGGTGTTCATGTACCGAAAACATATGAACCCGGCCTCAACGGATGTTTACCTGATTTGGGTACAGTAAGCCGAAACCGAATTGGTTGCTGTCTATTGTATTGCCGCTCTCTGATACATTACTGAATGAGCCAACAAGTCCCCTGCCTGCACCTATGGGAATGGTCTATTCTGCATGCGGCAGGAAAGTCTGACCCGGCTGGGAGATATTTCCCAGATACAACGACCGACACCAAGGCTGATCTCAAACTGGCAATTCTGTTTGTTAGTGACAGCTCGCAAACAGGATCACAATACAGGGCTGAACGGGGGAGGTAAATACTAGGCTGCGTCTATATGAGGCTCGCTTGATGGCTGAAGAGGCAGCGCTCTCTGGCCGGTGATGTACTCTGCAGTGATCATCCAGCCAGTGATGGAGACGTGGAAGGCGGTGAGCCTGTGTGCAGTTTCTGGGGATCACATGTGCCAGATGTTCCCCATCCACTCCTACCATTCCCATGACTGTTGAGTACCCCCACCTCTACCATATAACCTGTCACTGTGTATGGAGGGTGCTGGTATCACTCATTGGAGCAGGCAAGCCTGTACTGATATGTGTCTGGTGTCACCAAATACAACTTCCCTTTGTAACTCGGCGACATAACTACAGCACCCACTGACAGCCCAATGCAGCAATCCTGAGGTCACGGTGCAATGTCTGCACATCCTCTTCTGGGCTCACATTCATTTCCTGCAGGGGCTGAGTAATGGGACAATGTTCTGCACAAACCTGACTCCACCATCCGTCCATCCTCCCCTCCTGTCAGATTCTGCACAAACCTGACTCCACCATCCGTCCATCCATCCATCCATCCTCCCTCCTAATGTCAGATTCTGCACAAACCTGACTCCGCCATCCGTCCATCCATCCTCCCTCCTAATGTCAGATTCTGCACAAACAAACCTGACTCCGCCATCCGTCCATCCATCCATCCTCCCTCCTAATGTCAGATTCGGCACAAACCTGACTCCACCATCCATCCATCCTCCCTCCTAATGTCAGATTCGGCACAAACCTGACTCCACCATCCATCCATCCCTCCCTCCTAATGTCAGATTCTGCACAAACCTGACTCCACCATCCATCCATCCTCCCTCCTAATGTCAGATTCGGCACAAACCTGACTCCACCATCCATCCATCCTCCCTCCTAATGTCAGATTCGGCACAAACCTGACTCCACCATCCATCCATCCTCCCTCCTGTCAGATTCTACACAAACCTGACTCCACCATCCATCCCATCCTCCTCCCTCCTAATGTCAGATTCTGCACAAACCTGACTCCACCATCCATCCATCCTCCCTCCTAATGTCAGATTCTGCACAAACCTGACTCCACCATCCATCCATCCTCCCTCCTAATGTCAGATTCTGCACAAACCTGACTCCACCATCCATCCATCCTCCCTCCTAATGTCAGATTCGGCACAAACCTGACTCCACCATCCATCCATCCTCCCTGCTGTCAGATTCGGCACAAACCTGACTCCACCATCCATCCATCCTCCCTCCTGTCAGATTCTACACAAACCTGACTCCGCCATCCGTCCATCCATCCTCCCTCCTAATGTCAGATTCTGCACAAACCTGACTCCGCCATCCGTCCGTCCATCCATCCTCCCTCCTAATGTCAGATTCGGCACAAACCTGACTCCACCATCCATCCATCCTCCCTCCTAATGTCAGATTCGGCACAAACCTGACTCCACCATCCATCCATCCATCCTCCCTCCTAATGTCAGATTCTGCACAAACCTGACTCCACCATCCATCCATCCTCCCTCCTAATGTCAGATTCGGCACAAACCTGACTCCACCATCCATCCATCCTCCCTCCTGTCAGATTCTACACAAACCTGACTCCACCATCCATCCATCCTCCCTCCTAATGTCAGATTCTGACAAACCTGACTCCACCCATCCATCCATCCTCCCTCCTAATGTCAGATTCTGCACAAACCTGACTCCACCATCCATCCATCCTCCCTCCTAATGTCAGATTCTGCACAAACCTGACTCCACCATCCATCCATCCTCCCTCCTAATGTCAGATTCGGCACAAACCTGACTCCACCATCCATCCATCCTCCCTCCTAATGTCAGATTCTGCACAAACCTGACTCCACCATCCATCCTCCCTCCACACACAGTCCAATCCCTGCCAGACAGAGGGGGTTCTGTAGGCCAAGAGGATGGCTCAGCTTGGTCTCTATGGACCTTTGTATTGTGACTTGAAGATGAAGGAAGGGGAACACTGCGAAATATTCAGCCATTGTCAGGAGGAGGAGGAGAAGCGGGGGGGGGGGGGGGGGGGGGGCGGGTGAATGGACATGATGTCACAGGACAATGGGAAGGAAGGATAGGAGTCCCAGACCCCCCCCCCCCCCAGGTGACACCACAGGGCTTCTAGGACCTGCCCTCCCCCCCCCAGGTAACACAGCAGGGCTTCTGCGCTCCCCCCAGTGACACAACATGACGCACACAGACATACTGGCACTTGTAGTCCTCTGATGCCCACACATGCTGGGATGTACAGTGGCCCCCTAGGCGCGGATGTCCCGCACAGTCCAGGCCTCCCGCTCCCCCGGATCTGGTTCCCCCGCACAGTACCGGATGGTTCTAGAAGGTTCCATGGATCCCACAGAGCGAGCCCCTCCCCCTCCCCGGGACTCACTCGAAAACGTGCTCGGAAGTCCAGATCTTCATGTCTCCGCTCTCCGCCCGCAGGACGCCGAATGACGGAACCGCGCTCTCCCCGCTCGGAGGAACACCCGCTCCGCCAATCAGCAGCGGGAACGTCATCGCATTGCCGTCAGCAGGCCACACCTCCGGCACCCGGCATTGTTAAAGTGACAAGACACGACCTTCAGCATCTCCTGCACACGGCGCCCTGTCTCCGGTGACCCCGGGAGAGCTCCCGGATGTCCGCCCTGTACCCCGGCACATCCCACACACAGGGGCAGGTGGATGGCGGAGATAACACACCGTCACGTGGGATATTTTGAGCCTAAGGCCGGCCATACACTATACAATTGTCTGCCCAATTTCCTTTAGATTTACCTTCAACTATATAGTGCAAGGGCCGGCCTGATTGGATACAATTGAGAGCGTTGTTTAGGTTGAACCTCATATATGGTTTTTGTTAAATCTAAAGCAAGTTTCTCAAGAAAATTGTATAGTGTATGGCCGGCCATGGGTCGATCTTCGAAAATTGGACCTAAGAATAATCGGACGATTTTTTGCTCTGTTAGTGGGCAATGACACCGGACGATTTTCCTGGTTCCTCCCCTTTTCAGTGATCGGGCATGTTGGAAAATTCATGAAAAATCACCGATTTTCGACTCAATGATGGTCACATCGTACAATTCGTTTTTCCGAAAAGAATATTTGCATGAGCCGTGACCTGGAAGGAACAGAAGTTTCGCCTGTTATATGGGGTGAACTTTATGACTCGGTCGGCCGATTTTCAAAATCATTGATGGCACCATCGGATTACTGAGCGAACAACGTTTTTGATTTTCGGGTGAAAAATCGTTCGGAATTCAACCCATGTATGGCCTGCATTAGTCAAGTCCATCAAAATCTACTAGTCCAATCCTCCCCTCCCCCCGGACTGACGGTGCTACTGAGGTGTCTCCATTGCCCCTCCATAGAATGGGGCCACCCTAAGGCTAGGTTCACACCTATGCAGTTTGCAGTGCGTTTTGCGTTTTTTATGCATTTTGCCTTTTTTTTTTTCAGCTTGTTGCTGGGCAGAATAAAACGCATTAAAAACGTATCAAAAACGCACTACATGTTTTTCACCAGTGTCTCCATTAAAGTCTATAGAATCAAAAACAACTTTTTGGGTTCAAAAAAGTCCCTGACCCTTTCCAAAAAACGCAGCGGGTGAAAACGCGGCGATGTGAACCTGTCCCAGAGGAAATCATGTTAGATGGACTGCTGTGCGTTTCCAGAAAACGCTTCGGTGTGAAGCTAGACTAAGGCTTGGTTCACACCTATGCAGTTTGCGTTTGATCTGTGTCTGCATTGCGTTTTGTGTTTTTGCATGCTTTTTAATGTGTTTTGCGTTCTTTTGTTTGCTTTTTTTTTTATCTTCTTGTTGCTTAGCAGATTTAAAACGCAGCAAAAAACGTATCAAAAACGCACTACATGCTTTTCTGCAGCGTCTCCATTGAAGTCTATAGAACCAAAAACGCAACGTTTTGCGTTTAAAAAAGTCCCTGACCCTTTCCAAAAAAAAGCGGGTGAAAACGCGGCGATGTGAACCTGTCCCATAGGAAATTATGTTAAATGGACTGTACTGCATTTCTGCAAAACGCAGCGGAAAACGCTTAGGTGTGACCCTGGGGTAATGCGTGGTTCACACCCATGCAGCCGCGTCCTGTGTGTAGGGCGGCTCATTCATTTTGATGGCCGGTCCAACCAGCATAATCATGGGAACGAAATCCACCATTTTTTTTTTTGTAAATTGCATGATGATGTCGCCTGTAAAAATGCACAGCGGCTGCCAATGCATTGGGGTGTCATTAAGGATTAAAGAGTAACTCCACTTTTGTTAAGAAAACCCCTCCCCTCTGGGTCATCAATGCACAGTGCAGGGGTTGGAACAAACTTTGTTGCAGATTCCTACCTTTTGTTATGCGGGCCATAGATGGAATGAAAAATGGCCGAAAATCCGCTGGAAAAACAAATTGGCCGATTTTCGGATCGTTAGTGCGGTAATTGGTCGGCCGTTTTTAGTGATTTTTGCCCTTTTGGATTATCGGTCCTGCTGGAAAATAATCACCCAAATTTGTCGTTCTGCCAATTTTTGCGGCAATGATGGAAAAATCTGCCGATCTTTTTCCAATTTTAAAAAATGCGCATGAGCAGTGACATGAAAGAAGAAGAAAAGGAAAAAAAATAGAATATGAATGAGAAGAGAAATAGAAATATGAATAAAAAGAAGAAATAGAATATAAAGAAGAAATAGAATATTATGAAGAAGAAGAAATAGAATATGAATATGAAGAAGAAATAGAATATGAAGAAGAAAGAAATAGAATATTATGAAGAAGAAGAAATAGAATATGAAGAAGAAAAAGAAGAAATAAAATATGAAGAAGCAAAAAAAAAAGAATTTCAGTCCAATATTATATTTGACATTTAAAAGTATAGCAACATTGTATCTATTTGTATCCGAATAGAAACATCTGTATCCAAAATGGATACAAATAGATACAATGTTGCAACTTTTTCTTCTTTCTTCTCTCCATATTCTATTTCTTCTTTTTATTCATATTCTATTTCTTCTTCTTCTGCATATTCTATATAATTGCCGGCCGTAGACGGGACGAAAATCAGCCGACTTTTTTTTTTACCAATGGTGGTAATGTCCGCTGATTGAACGAACAATTTTTAGTTTTTCTAAAATAAAACGGCTGGTTTTCTCCCTGTCTATGGTCTGCATTATTCTGAAGAAATATCTGTGTCTGTGTCCATGTGTAGTGATTGTGAGGGACTTCATAACGATCAATCAGCTGCTGCACCTGCAGGGTTCTAATGAAGAAAGTGTCATGGTCTGCATTCCTTTAGAGGGGATTTCCCTTTGAGAGTATCTCACCAGAAATGACATTTGTGTTATTCCTTCACTGACACCAATATTGGGGCACTATTCCTTCCATTGACACCAATGATGGGGCACTATTCCTTCCATTGACACCAATGATGGGGCACTATTCCCCCCACTGATACCAATGATGGGGCACTATTCCACCCACTGATACCAATGATGGGGCACTATTCCTCCCACTGATACCAATGATGGGGCACTATTCCTCCCACTGATACCAATGATGGGGCACTATTCCTCCCACTGATACCAATGATGGGCACTATTCCTCCCACTGACACCAATGATGGGGCACTATTCCTTCCACTGACACCAGTGATGGGTAACTATTCCTCCAATACCAATGATTACACCAATGATACCAATGATGGGGCACTATTGCTTCAACTGACACCATGATGGGGCACTATTCCTCCCACTGACACCAATGATGGGGCACTATTCCCTTCCACTGATACCAATGATGGGGCACTATTCCTCCCACTGACACCATGATGGAGTAACTATTCTTCCAACTGATACCAATGATGGGGCACTATTCCTCCTGATACCAATGATGGGGCACCATTCCTCCCCCTGATACCAATGATGGGGCACCATTCCCCCACTGATACCAATGATGGGGCACTATTCCTCCCACTGACACCAATGATGGAGCACTATTCTTCCCACTGATACCAATGATGGGGCACTATTCCTCCCCTGATACCAATGATGGGGCACCATTCCTCCCCCTGATACCAATGATGGGGCACTATTCCTCCCACTAATACCAATGATGGGGCACTATTCTCCCACTGACACCAATGATGGGGCACTATTCCTCCCACTGACACAATGATGGGGCACTATTCCCCCCTGATACCCACTGATACCAATGATGGGGCACTATTCCTCCACTGATACCAATGATGGTGACTATTCCTCCCACTGATACCAATGATGGGGCACTATTCCTCCCACTGATACCAATGATGGGGCACTTTTCCTTCCACTGATACCAATGATGGTGACTATTCCTCCCACTGATACCAATGATGGGGCACTATTCCTCCCACTGATACCAATGATGGGGCACTATTCCTTCCACTGATACCAATGATGGGGCACTATTCCTCCCACTGACACCAATGATGGGGCACTATTCCTCCCACTGACACCAATGATGGTGACTATTCCTCCACTGATACCAATGATGGGACACTATTCCTCCAAGTTACACCAATGATGGGGCACTATTCCTCCCACTGATACCAATGATGGGGCACTATTGCTTCCACTGACACCAGTGATGGGGTAACTATTTCCCCAAGTTACACCAATGATGGAGCACTATTCCTCCCACTGATACCAATGATGGGGCACTATTGCTTCCACTGACACCAGTGATGGGGCACTATTCCTCCCACTGATACCAATGATGGGGCACTATTGCTTCCACTGACACCAGTGATGGGGCACTATTCCTGCCACTGACATTTTTTACTATCACTGGCTACAGTCTGGCCCCCCTAAAGTTTGATGGACAGTAAACTGGCCCTTAGTTTTTAAAGTTTGGAGACCCCTGATCTACAGAATCCTTGCAGTTTCAGGAAGCCAAATACACTTTACGGAGGGTGTCACAAGAGACGTTCTAAGGGTAGGACTGTTGTATGGAAATAGAATTCCTGGCCTTCAGGACGGCGATGTATATATAGCCTCAGCGTCCTCTTCTTCTGATTACCTAACAGATGACTGAGGCAGGCTGCACGCCAAGGACAGCGCCCCACCCTGACCATGACGCAAGCAGGCTGACTACATTGTGTAAGTAGGGGAAAGGTGACAGCTCGGCCTCCAAACAGGGCTGTCACATTGGGAACGTTGTCAGGTCCCGGTCACATCACAGCCAACTGTCCCTGATCTCCAGGCACCCTGCCACGTTCAGGAAAGCAGGGCACTAGAAGTGCTTGTCCCCGGCTGTGTTCACCATTACCATCCTGCTACACAGTGCCACTTCCACTGTGCCGACCCTGCGACAAGTATGGGAGGTGCCACCTGTGACTGGGTTCATCCTCATCCTGGTTCCCTGCCCAGAACAAGCATGCAACCAATA